GGCTCCTAGTGTACAACACCCAAATTCAAGGATGTCATGCCCATGCAGTCACAGCAAACACCTAGTATGAAGCAATGAAAGATACAGCTATCGCACAATGGACAGCCCATCCAATGTGAGTGGGAGATGTTAAATTTTGGGCTTGGATCTGCCCTTAATGGGCCAGACTATTTGACTAGATATTAAGAGAATATACCGGTCAAATATTCAAGCAAGATTATGATATGTTTGATTTGGTCAAACATCCTGAATCAAATCCAATTAGTTACGATATAAATTTAACTAATTTGTATTGTATATATTAAATACATATTAGAGATATATATATTTAGAATTGATTATGATTGATTCTAGATTTGAATTAAAAAATAATAATCTTATAAGTCAAAGATATATTTGAATATCCAAATTCAAATTCAAACTGATAGATTCAGTGGATATTTTGGCTCCCAAAATACCCCGGGCCAAAGCTATAAATAGATGCTTCTACCCATCTGTTCAACTCACTCCAATAGTTGAGCTTTCCTACTCTCTCTCTCTCTCTCTCTCATTCTTTCTTGCAAAGAGGTGCTTTGCTGTGCACTCAAAGCTTAGACTTTTATAGTTTGACTTATAGCATGAACTCAGAGAATTCAATCGACCCAACCCGAGATCTGACTTGGTATGTTCTCTAGTCCATTTTTTATTTTATCTTATAGAAATCATAAGCTAACTAACTGATATAAACATTAATTGACAAGGGAAAATGATTATTTGATTTTACTTTTTATAAAATTTAAATGTAACAAAGATTAAATGGTCTAAGTTACTATTTTTAGAATTTTTGGTTTTTTTCTAATAAAGTGATGGTTTAAACCTCTTGAAATAGATTAATGGCAATCATTGTTCAATTAGGATATGGGAATTAATTTAATATGCTAAGTTTTTTATGAAAACTCCAAGTGACTGCTTAAGTCTAGCAATCTCAATTGGTGATTATTCCTACTACTGTAGCTTACAAAATCCATTTTAAGTTGCTATTGAACATCACTTAGTGTTCATCTACGATTAAGTCAAATGGCTTGTTCCTCTTAAAGACTAATGCTCAACCAAGACATTAATGAAGTGCTCAACTGATACACTCAAAGGCAAGCTCAATTCAACTATATTATCCATATTACCATGCCAAACAACACAATATCATTAGCCCCACAACAAGATATACATATAACATTCAAGCTATAAAATCTAATCACAGTCACAAGTGCTCAATTCAGCAAAGATAATCAACTCAAAATCTTAGTCTCTAACTTTACAAAGCCCCATTGTATAACTAGAAAATCCAAATGTAGATAAGAGACAAAGTTGAATACACTACAAAAAAACAACTCATTACTAACAAAAAAAATTTTTGTCACTAATTTCTGATAAATTAGCTACGAAATTTCTATCTGTTGCTAATTCGTAAAAAAATTTGTCAGTAAATATTTAGCGATGGAATTATCAATAGAATTTTTTTCTGTCAAAAATTTCCGTCGATAATTCTGTTGTTAATTTTATTTATAAAATTTTTAGCAACAGAATTAGAGACAGAAAATTTCTGTCACTAATTTTCATCGCTAAATTGTTTGTCATAGAAGTTTTCCTCATTAATTCTGTCCTTAATTCTATTCTGTCACAATTCTGTTTCTATTCTATCCCTAATTTTAAATTTCATTATTTTAGATTATAATCTTATAACAATTTATATAATGACATAATTAACAATATAATGATTTAAATATATTTTTAATCGTAAAATCAATTGATATATTTGTGGAGTTGGTGTTAATAAAGATATCGTCATCATTAGGTATATACTAAGAATAGGAAAACAATTTCATAGAAAACTTGTTTATATTTCATTAAAATCAATTCCACTTTATTATTAATAATAATTGAAAATATAATAAGAATATTAATAACTTTCTTGTACAAACTTATATGAGAAAGAAATAATTTTATCATATGTACAATATACTGTAAGATATAATATATGATAAAAATTCAAAATGAAAAAATGGATTTATATGAATGCAAACTAATATTGAAGTGAATTTTGAATTTCAATTAGTAAGAAATGAAATTTAATCATGATATAATTAATACCTATCATATAAATTGATTTTGGTCTTCAATGCAAAAACAAATGATACATACAAATAATTTTAAGAAAATAAATTACATGGGATACATATACAAGTAGGAGAATATTGTTTATCATAATTTATTCACATCATTTAATTTTTATAGAATAATTTTTATATTTTTTTATAGCAACTATGTTTTGAATAACAAGATTTTTTACTAATTATAAGTGGTTTTCATCAAATATATTAAAAACACATATAGATAATATAATATAATGTAATATAATACATATATAATTAAATTGTATATCTTATCAATGTTAATTAAAAAAAAATAAATTTAAAAACATATTTATGAAAAAATTATTTATGATTTAAAATTCAAAATTAGTGTCATTGGAAATTAAAATTATATTAAATAAATTTTTAAAAAAAAATTTATAAAATAAATAGTAAAACAAAATATTTAAAAAATTTTTTGTCATTAAAATAGTTATGGTTAAAATTATCATATAGTTTATTTTTAGTTTTTAATAATTTTATATGTATATATATTGTTTGTGTAAAAGAATATTATATATATTTAATTTTTGCATAGCAAAGTCAACAGGTTTATTGTAACTCAACCGGCAAAGTTGAATGCGTGCACAGACGAGGTCTTAGGTTCAAGCCATGTAGAAGTCACTTTGAGGAGAAATTATGTATTGGCGACATGTGGTGTCATAAGGTAACATGTGAGATAGCGGTGACATGTGAGACGGCAGCGACATGTGGCAGGCAGAGGTAAGGTGACAACGACATGTGGTGTCACAAGGTAACATGTGAGACGGCAGCGACATGTGACAGGCAGAGGTAAGGTGACAACAGCATGTGGTGGTCGTCACTAAGGTGGCAGAGACATGTGGAGGTGGTCAGCTGTCGTCGCCGGCAATGACGTGGCTACTGGTAGAGGCACCACGTGGCATTTTTTTTTAAAAAAAAAAATCATATTAGCGACATAATTTTTTTGTCGCTAATGTGTTATGGAAATTTTTGTTAGTAATTAGCAATGGATTAGTGATGAAAATTTTTTGATTGATAATTATTGATGGAAAATTCCGTCACACTAATCTATGGCTAATTGAGACAAAATTTCAATTCTGTTGCTAATCCAATTCGTGATGGAACAAATTCTATCATTATTCCATCACCAAATAAAAATTCTGTCACTAAATTCTGTAGCTAATCGCATGTTTTTTTTTTGTAGTGATAAAATTAACTCCCCTATTAGTTTATGGAACTTGAGCTATAACCCATCTCCAAGAAGCTAAATGGCTCAGCCTCACATGACTTTAAGCTCTGCTACAACAAACTCTGTGTGCACGGCAGCCACAGAAGATGAAGAAGGAGAGGGCGTCGGACTGGTGGTCGTGAATTGCGGAACTGATGGTTGAAGATGAGATGGAATGGTGATGTAGCGATTTTGGAATGACTGAGGAGAGGGAGTTATGACCATCTTCTCCTGGTCGACGATGGCAAACAAAGGAGAGTAGTGAAATTGATGATGATTATATATGGACGAAGGAGGATTCAAGGCCTATAGTTTCTATGAACCGGAGGACCACCCAGACATGTTAAGATTATTTAATAGGTAAGTATGTGCATGTGCCTATATATATTTGTGTGATCCAAGTCTAATTTGTCTTTTTTTTTTTTTCATTTGTTAGTGCATTGACTAGCTTTTGAGGTGCTCAAGGGCTTAAACATTCTAAAGCTATGGACTCTTCAAAAAGCTACAAGTGGAAGAAAATTATGGTATTTATAAAAGTTTATTCGAACGTTGAAAATATATCATTTAGATGCATAATTTGATATATATATATATATATATATATCTTTACTGGTACTTTTGCAGTGTCCCTTCCAACCTAATAATAATGATTGTGGGTATTACATGATATGATTCATGAAGGATGTTGTCACTCATGATAAAAGTTTTATCTGACTATGTACAGAATTTCAGTTTATATATTTTTTCTAAATTTAATTTGGTTTTAATAGTTAATTTTTAATTGATTTTGATGTGTGGTTTGATTATGTTATAGTATTACGATGGTGCATGTTGCGCAGGATACAATGGCAACCAAATAAATGAAGTGATTGAAGAATTGTGTACTTATGTGTTCCAACAATGTAATAATTAGTGCATTGAACTTTTTCGTTTATTGTTTTGCGTAGCTTTCTTCCTCATACGACTATACAAAACAAGTCGGCAAGGTTTTTGCAACATCAATACTAGATTATATATAGTTTGAATCAATAGTTATAAGTGAAGCCACATTAGTTATAGTTGTTATTTATTGTGATATAATTAAGTTAACTATATTGATATTTGGCTATTAATTAGGAAAATTTGTATAGAAGATCGTTACAAATTTGAATTCATATAAATTTGTAAAATACTAATAATAAAAAGACTTCAAGTGGCACTTGTGTGACAAATGTGTTTCCTAAAGATTTAAAAAAAAAAAAAGCATTAGCAATTGTGCGTTACAAAAGCTACTTGATGCTTTAATTATTAAAAGCAATAAAATCTTAAGTGGCATTTTCATGATTCAAGCCCTACCAAATGCTTTAATAATGAAAAAACTAGAATCTTAAGTAACGCTTTCATGGTTAGGCGTTACCTAAGTTTAGAACAAGCGGTAGCGCTTATAATTGCAAGTACTACCCCTATATCTCTTAAAGAAAAAGAAAAGAAGTATTTTTTTTGTTGTGCTTCTTTTTTTTTTTCCGAATGGAAAGGCAAGCGTAAGCTTGGGTTGCAAGAAGATAAGGTTAGTCAGCATTTCTGAAACTGACATCTACCAACTCTTGGTCTCTCGCAACTTGCGCTCTGCATGATGCTGGCACCTAGAATAATACTTCCAGTTCTCCTCCCATTCTCTGAGCTTCCCTTGCTAGGATATCAGCATATGCCACTGCCTCTCGTTTCTCATGCAACAACTTGACTGATGGTAAGTTATAAAGCAACTCCCTGGTTTTCTCCACCTCAGCACGAAAAGGGTGGTTGGTTCCATTATCTCGCATCAATGTATTGATTGCCTCCATAGAGTCAGAGTAAACTAGGATATCTCGCAAGTTTTGCTGCTGGCACATTTCCAGACCAGCTTTGATCGCCATTAACTCTGCCATGGTAGGTGGGTAGGTTCCAAGTTGTTGCTTAAAGCCTACTACCCAGTGTCCTCTGTGGTCTCTGATCAAGCCGCCACATGTAGCTTTCCCGTGAGTATCTACTGAAGCATCAATGTCTAGTCTTACTTTACTCAACGGTGGAGGCCGCCACTCATCTTCTATGGCCATACCGCTCTGGAAGATCCTATGTCGTAGTTTCCCGTCTTGCACGTGTTTCGTTAGGTGATATAAGCACTGGTGCAAAATCTCTGTGTGGGTGTTCTGGCCTTCACCGAATACTTGTTTACATCGATGCTTCCAAATTAGCCAACAAATGTGACCAAATATCGTTGTCCATGCCCAGGTGGCATAACGTGATTTGCTTGGCTCCTTTGTGGTGTTCCATTCTATCCATTCCTATAAATCACAAGAGAAAAAAGTAGAATACATATTAGGTCTAATAAATTCCTTCCATACTTTTTGCACTCTCTCGCAGTCTCGAATGAGATGAAGAACACTCTCCTCACTCATACACCCTAGAGGGCACTCTCCTGAAGGTGAAAGTCCTCTCTTCACTCTCAAAGAGTTGGTCATGATTCTCCCATGGGAAAGTTGCCACAAGAACAATTTGATTTTTTCAGGTAGCTTCCAACGCCAAAGTTTCTGCCAGATCGGTCTCCCCATTCCATACTCGGACTTAGATAGGAATTGATACACTGCCTTTACTGAAAACCGTCTATCTGAGGCTTCTCGCCAGCATGGGACGTCAGCTTATGTGCCTCTTAGGGTTTTAGTTCTAACGAGTATCCGCACCACCCCCTCTGGCAAATATTGTCTCTAGTTCCTATGGTTCCAGAGCCCCCCCGGAAGTATGAAATCTGCCACTCTTACTTCAGGATTGATCTGACTGAGATTGTTTGAGACATACTCTATGAGTGGTTTTTCAAGGGGTGCCCACAAGTCCCACCAAAATCTTGTAGTTAAACCACTATTTACTTTCTTGCCTATTCCTTGCATGAATTTTTCCCACACCGTATGTATGGCCTGCCAAACTAGAGAGGAATTCCTGTGTTTTGTTACCTTTGGAATTTCTTCCGGCCCACATTCATATTTTGACTTCAACACTTGGACCCATAGGGCGTCATGTTTGGTTATAAGGCCCTAGCATGACTTCATAATAAAAGCAAGATTCTACTTTTCAAGGTTTTTAATACGTAGGCCACTGGCTTGTTTTCTCATCATGACCTTCTCCCAAGCTATTAGGTGCATTTTCTTTGCAATTTCATCTTGGCACCAGAGAAAGTTCCTACTAATCTTTTCAATCTCCTGAAGTACTCCTTTTGGGATTAAGGCAGATTGCATTTGGTAGGAGGGGATAGCAGCTATCACGATCTTGATAAGAACCATACGGCCAGCCATAATGAGGAACTTGCCCTTCCAGGAAGATAGTCTGGCCTTCACCTTTCGCTTTATATGTCTAAAAGTATCTTTGGTAATTCTTGAGTGGATGAGAGGGACCCCCAGATACTTCCCCAAATCAGCAGTGACATCGATTCCCAGCAGCTCACTCAGGGCAAGTTCCCGATGAAAGTTGACATTTCTAGAGTAGAAAGACTTGGATTTTTGTAAGCTGATTTTATGTCCTGAAGCCGCACAAAATTTCGTCAGCACCTCCTGAATCAGTCTCATCTACCTCCCTGTGGCTTCAGCAAAGAGCAGGAGGTCATCTGTAAAGAAAAGGTGGGAGATACTCGGACCATCAGCCTTCAGCTTTATCGGTTTCCACTTACCTCTGTTACACTCTTCTTGGATGAGGTGGCTTAACCTTTCCATACATAGGACAAAAAGATATGGACTGAGTGGGTCTCCTTGTCTCACTCCATGTGTTGGTTTAAATTTAGGGCCTTCCTCGCCATTCCAGAGAACTCTCATTATCGCAGAAGTAACACAAGCCATGATAACTTTTGTAATGCTTTCTTGCAAGCCAATCATTCGGAGGGTATTTCCCAAGAAGCGCCAATCTAAGCAATCATAGGCTTTTTCCATGTCTACTTTTACTGCCACAAATCCCTTTCGTCCAGGTTTTGTTCTCATAGTGTGCACAATTTCTTGAGCTATGATTATGTTGTCGCAACTAGACCGGGAGGCAATGAAGTTGCACTGCTGCTGTCCCACCAAGGAGTTCATCACATTCTGCAATCTATTTGCAAGGAGTTTAGTTATCACCTTAAAGCTCACATTACATAGCGATATAGGTCTCAACTCTTTTAGATTGCACGGACTATCAACCTTTGGTATTAGAACAATATTGGTCTAATTCACCGCATCAATTAAGCTAGTATCCCAAAAGGCTTCCTTTACGAGCTTGCATATTTTTGGTTCAATAATCTCTGACAAACTCAATTATTTTTATATTTTTTGGTATCTTTTATATGAGTTTTGTTAGCTTAATTGGTCCCTTTTTGCCATAATTGATTTATTTTGTTTTATTTTGAATTATTATTTTATAGGGGCAAAATTGTCATTTTTTGATTTTAATTATGATTAATTGATTTTTAAGAACAATTAATGCTACCTTATTCTTGAATTTTGCTTGCAGGTTCTTGGAAGATTCAAAAATAAAAAAAATAAAAAAAAGGAAAAAAATTAAATTAAAAGAAAAAAAATAATATATAATAATAAGGTGGGGGCAAAACGTTGCATTTTGCCCCAACCTAATAATCATCATCAGCTGGCCGAACGGGGGGAAACACACACGAGGCGCGGCAGAACGAAAGACACACACGAAACAGAGCACGCCGAACGAAACGCAGAACGAGCTGAACGGCGGCTGAGAGCAGAGGAGACGTGCCGAACACGAGCTCGTGACGGCACCTTCACCTTGTTCCTGGACGCAAGCGGCGTTGAAAACAGAGCTGAGGGGCGGCAAACAGAGCAACACGAAAGGAAGACCGAAACACACATACACACGGGCAGAGCGAGCTGGAGGCGGAAGACGAGCAGCGAAACAGAGACGTGAACCATTCAGCGTGAACAGTGTTCTTCCATGGGATCCTGTAGCAAAATACTGATTGCAGCGAATTTGATGGCAAACCGTGGCTAATTCCTAATTCTCTAATTCAACAATAATGGCAGGAGCTTGGATCATCAAAGGGGAGTTTTAGTTGCTTTAATTTCCTACTCAATAATTGTTTAACAATTCCTAGGTCTTAGGATAGTTTTTCTAATTGTTGGGATAATTGTATTGCTTAATCTGATTATATTTGGGGATTATTGTGACTGGATTATTGTTTAGCATTTGACATTGAGCTGTTTATAACTTTGATTTCAATTATGATGTTGTGGTTATGACATTTGTATTGATTTTGGAGTTAATATATTGTGATTTTCTAAGGTGGCTTAGAATCTTGGATCATATTGTCTCTTGCTAGCTTTAAGTCTATTGTTGAATTTAAGAATTTAATTGAGCATTGGTTTTTAGTATCCTTAATTTCATTTTACTATTCTGGTTGCAGTTAGTAATTTGAATTTTAGGAAAATAATTTGTGGCAACTCGAGGTGGCTCGGTTGTTGGATTAAAAGCTTAATTATAATTCTTAATTCATTGTTTTTAACTCCCACATCTTTTAGAGTGATGATTGCCTGCTTGTTGAATTAGAGGATTGATTATCATCAGTGTTATTTGTGTGTCTCATTTTCATTTCTTTAATCTTCATTTATTTTAATTACTTTATATAAAAACAAAAAAAAAAGTATTTTAATTTCAATTTGATTCGTAGCATTTAATTAGCAGTTTTTCAAAATCAAAAATCCTTTTTATAGTTTAGGTTACTTGCATTTATTTACTAGGATTTAATTTCGTTTTCGGCTCCTCAAAGTGAATACGACCCGGATTGTGCACTATATTGCATTAATTCGGTTAATTTTTGGAGTAACCCAAAGCGACAATTAAGGGCAGTTAAACTTCAAGTGGCGCCGTTGCCGGGAGCCAAGAAATTGGTTCCCTAGTAATTAAGTGTCAAGTAGCCTTGATTGGGGTTCATTTGTTGAGCCTTTTTAGTTTTCATTTTTGTTAGTTTTTGCATTTTCTTTAGTAGTTTGCATTTGTTTCTTTTGATTTTTCATAACATTTTTTTTTCTTTCTTTGCATAAAAAAAATATTCAAAAATACAACTAAATATCTTGATTTTTCATTCTCATACACATACACTTACATTGCATTGCATTCATCTATTTTCTGTTTGCTTAATTGCTTCTGGTTGATTGATTGTTTATGCCAAGAAAGGGTAGGTCTAAAACCCTAGTTCCTTCCAATCTTGAGCTTCAAAGTCTTTAAGAGAAGTTAGACAAGACCAAAGGGTAGAAAGGACTAGTGAAGGTTGAACTAGACAATTTAACTGATCTAGATTTGGTGGTTGACTTAGGTGACATAATGGAAACAGTTAATAATCCTAATGGTAACAACAATGGTGGTAATGAGAGAGGGGGCAATGGACATAATAGGGGAGCATGATAGAGTAGGAGAGAATAATGGAGATAACCTAGAAGAAGAACCATTAGGGAAGCCACTACTTCTGATGCAAATTATGATCCTTTTAATGTTGCATGCCCTAATGTTGATGTTAATTTTGAGATTAAAGGTCCACTGCTTAATTATTTGCCTAAATTTCATGGTTTGACAGGTGAGGACCCGTACAATCATCTGAAATCTCTCTCTATGGTATGTGCTAGCATGAAGCCGGTTGGGGCTAATCTGGATGAGGTTCTTTGGAAGGTATTCCACTTGTCTCTGGAGGGCAAAGCGCGAGAATGGTACATGAGCTTGCCTAGTTATATGGCAGATGCCTACCATAACTGGAACAACCTCAGAAAAGCATTCTTGGAGAAGTATTTCCCTGCTTCCCGGACTTCTACATTGAGAAAAGAGATCTACTCTGCAAAGCAAGATTATGATGAGTCACTTTATGACTATGGAACCGTTTTCAGGACTTGCTTTCTAGATGTCCACACCATCAGATTCCAGATGAGCAGTTAGTCCAATACTTTTATGATGGACTTAAGACCCAAGATAAGGGGATGTTGGATGCTGCTTCTGGGGGTTCTCTCATTGATTTAACTGCTGAGGAGGCATGGGAACTTATCAAGAAAATGGCATTGAACCATCAACAGTATAGCATCAGGGAGTCTAA